GCTCCCAGCCCCTCCCCCACCCCAACCCCAATCCCCCGCCCTTCCCCATCCCGTCCCCATCCCTGTCCCCATCCCTATCCCTATCCCCATCCCCATCCCGTCCCCATCCCGTCCCCATCCCCATCCCCATCCCGTCCCTGTCCTGTCCCCATCCCTGTCCCCATCCCCTCCCCATCCCATCCCCATCCCGTCCCCATCCCCATCCTGTCCCTGTCCTGTCCCCATCCCTGTCCCCATCCCCTCTCCTGTCCCCATCTTCACTCCCATCCTATTCCTGCTCCCATCTTTGTCCCCACCCCATATCTGTCCCCATCCCTGTCTCCTTTCCTGTGCCCATTCTCATCCCTGTCCCCACTCCTGTCCCCACTCCTGTCCCCATCCCCATCGCTGTCCCCAACCCATCCCAGTCCCCATCCCCTTTCCTTTTCCCCCTCTCCTGTCCCCATTCCTGACCCCAGCCTCAGCCCTGTCCTTGTCCCCATGCCTGTCCCCATCGTCATCCTTGTCCCCAGCCCTTTCCTCATCCTTATCCTCATCTCCATCCCATCCCCATCCTTGTCCCCACCCCCATCCCATCCCCATCCTGTCCCCCAGCCGGCCCGGGGGCACCTTGGGGTCCTGCGGGTCCCTGAGGAAGAGGAGGAAAAGGGGTCACGAGGAGCCTTCCTCCCGCACAGCACGCTGGGAGGGCCCTGCCTCCACCCTCCCCCCCAAATAAATCGCAGACCCCACGGGTGCCGGACAGGAGCCCCTCGCCGTGCCACGTGTCCCGCCGGCGCCGGGGCTCGGCGGCCACCGCGGCGGGGATCCGGCCCCGCGCATTGAGGCTGGTTAATGAAGCGAGGGGGGAATGTCCCCGGCTGGGGGGGGGCAAACACAGCGGCTATTGTTCCCCCGTGGGAGGGGGGACGCTGCCCCTTGAGGGGCCTCGTTAGGGGAAGAGGTTCATTAGACGCCGCCGAGACGCTCCGGCCCCGGCCGGGGAGCGAGGGGCCGCAGGACGGACCCCCAGGCGAGGCGGGGGGTGCTGGATGCGGCCCCCGCTCCGGACTCACCGTCTCGCCCTTCGGTCCTTGTTCGCCTTTGAAGCCTGCGATGCCGGGTTCTCCCTGGGGAGCGAGAGGGCGGTGGGGGACAGGGCCACAGCGTCCCCACGGCTGGCCCTGGCCCCGGTCCCTTCTCCAGGCCACGGCCCCATCCCTGTGTCCATCTTCTTCCTTGGCCCCATCCCTGGCCCCATCCCTTCCCCATCCCGTCCCCATCCCTGTCCCCATCCCTATCCCTATCCCCATCCCTTCCCCATCCCGTCCCCATCCCTGTCCCCATCCCTACCCCTATCCCCCCCC